TATATATATATATATATATATATATATATATATATATGTGTATGAACGCGATGTTATCGAAACAAAAAGAAAATAATTTCCTTTCGACGACTACGGTATTGAGAAAAAGAAGACGGCAAACGGCTTAATGAACGAGAATCTCCAAGGAGATTAAACCGGTATCGCATTATACGGGGCATTGTTCGAATATCAACAACACTTTGTACCGAAGTTCGAACCAGTATCCCATTATATACCCGAGGCGGTCGGTACAAAAATAGGGGAAAGCCATTATTATTACATTTCTAAAGAGAGAAAAATTTACCTGAGCCATCTTTTCACCCTTGGTCTTTTAAAATTTTATTACACCGTATATACATCGATCAATTAAAACGTTTCGACGCTTCGACATATATAAACCCGAGATGGCCCTAAATCGAAGATAAAGTAAACATCTATACACACACACACACACACACACACACACATATATGGAAGAAAAGAAGAGCGAAAAGGACAGACTTGCTCGTGGGATGAAACGGTCCGGAAAGAATATGACGGAGGGCCGATCGTGGGACGAAGACAGAGAGCGTCGAGCGAGGAAAGCAGAAGAGAGGAAGCAGGCAAGGTGAGAGGGAGAGGGACGAAAAGGCAGAAGGCGAAACGACAGAGGTGTACGGTCGCTGGAGCGAGAGGGCGCATGGCCTTGGCCGCTGCTGCGGGGTAATTCAGTCAAGGTTTCGGCCGATGAACTTCCTCCGACGGGAGGAAGGAGCGCCGGCCGGTAGAGGTCCGCGGCGAGTGGTGGGGAGAGGCGGCGGCCAATCAGGAGGGCGCGCGGCCCAGCGAGCGGCGACGCGATTGGCCGGGCCCGTGACGCCGGTGCGCCCGGGCCCGCAGCCGCTTGTCAGTGACCTCCAGCATTGAAAATACGATGAACTCTCTCAGGGGGGCTCTGTAAGAGCGCGCACCGGTGCGCTGTGTGTCCTCTACTACATACTAGGTAGCCAGGGCGTAGACATTGTAGATGGTCGAGGCAGGCTGGCAAGCAGGCAGCCACATCAATCCCTCCCCTCCACTCGTGAAACCGGCGTCGCTCCGAGTAAGGGCCGCACGGCCCCCAGGTAACCAACACTCGCCAGCGCCGAACTCCAGTCAGACCAACGCGAACCTCCCTCGAGCGAACACTTACTTTCACTCTCTCTTCTCCGCGCCGTTCCCATCCGTCCCGTTCTTTTCGTTCTTCCCTTGTATACCCACAGCTTCCTTCCTCCACGGCTCCTACACACTCGTCTCTCCACGCTTGTACTATATACGCGCGGTGTATAACACGGCCGAGGTGTTCGTCGGTCGCCACAGAACGCACCTGCCCTTCGTTTCGGTAGGTTCTCGGGCGGAACCGAGTACCGAGTGGTGTGATTCGTCCCCTCACGTGATCGCGATCGTGTGCTCGCTGTACGATAA